TCTGTGGTGCATTTTGTATTGTGTGTTTTGTCTAGGTTTCATCTCTCACATAACTTTTGCAAATATCATTTTTATCATTAGCCAGATGCTGACTTCATCATGATGAATTGCCAGCCACAATACAGTGAAAAGGGGACATCCAAAGAAAGAGCAGAGAAAAAGATTATAAACTTCCTGCAGGATTTCTTGGAGGAGCTTGAGATATCAGGTACCATACTCAATATTGTGGATCGAATTGAATACATAAATCTAAATCCTATCTTAATTTTTTTGACCACACGAGGCAGATATTCATTTTCTATTCTCAGTTTTAAATAACTAATTACCTTTCCACATATAGTTCACCGATGATGATGACGACAAAGAAGTTTTTTTTCCCCTACACGTCTCCTCGGATGATCAAAGAAAATTACTCCTCTGCCATGGCGTAGTAATATAACAAACCAGAGGGTGTCGCAATTAAGTGTGCACTTATCAATGCTGTTTTAATGTCTGGGCCTGGCAATGATTTAAAACTTAATTTTTGTATTTTTGTTTTTGGGGGGGTTTTTTGGACTGGTTTTTTTGGCGAGGCGGTAGCATGAGTTTGGCGAGGCAGCAACCTCGCCAAGACAGTGCTGCGGGAAACACTGATAAAATTATTTGCTGTTGTGAGTTAAATGCATATAATTTTTTATTTTTTTTTAAGATATATGCATTGAATTCCTTTCAATAAATTTTTTTCAAAAGATATATATATTCATAGATAGGGAGACGTCAGGTGAAGGGTCAGAATGTCTTGCAGTCCAGCATGTTCTTCAGTGGATGAAAGGGCAAGCCAATACTCCAATTCTTCCAAGTGAAAAGCAACATTTTAAGATAACATTCAGGTTTGACCATGAGTGCAGTGAGCGTTTAGGCAATCACTCCATTTGCTATCTAGTAGTGAGTGCATGTACGTGTACTGTCACATTTCCAGTACAGCATTTGACAACTTACTCTGAGTTTAAAAGGATCATGACAGAAGCTGTTCTGTTTTTTTGAAAGCAGTTAACACTGGGGGAACTAATCATTTTGCCCATTTGATAACATATCAAATAAAATTGCAATTGATGGGAGTTTAATTTCATTGAAAATAGAAATGCTGAAAAAACACACAATACATAGAAGTTTCAAAATTATTTGCAATCCAATTTATTTCTCAGTGACTTGTCAATTTTCCTGCTCCTCAAAGGAAATTAAGCTTAAAATAACAATAAAATGTGTGAATGTCTGTTTGGAGAACCTGGTTAATGTTCTGAAGATTTGCAGTTCTGAGGTTCAGTGCTGATGAAACTGGCAGGTGTTACTGAAACTGTCTAGATCTTTATAAAAAGAGTTCAAAAGTCTTCTCCTACTTAAATATTGATGTTATGACACCATGTTTTGTATTTAATGTACAAGTCTCGGCCATGTTCTTCAGAAGGATCTAAAGGATTGATGGTTCTCTGAAGTTCTGCAAGGATGTCGTCATCCAATGGGCACTCAACTACAGGGACCACAACTGCTCGGTTGTCTTCTTGGAGCACAGCACTCTCCCAGTCAATTACTGGGTCCCGAAGGTCCTACAAGCACAGACACAGGAGAATTAATCAAAACAATGACATAAGTGAATGTTTTTAATTATTTTCAACCTCTATTCGTGTATTGTTGAAATAAATTCACCAACAGAACCTACTGTGATGTTTCTTTAGTCATTTTTGAGGTTTTGATTTGTTACATAACTACATCATTGCCATTTCATTTAAAATATGTTTTAAATTATATTAAGAAATATTAAACAGAATAAATTGATGTAGACATTGTGACTTTGTGCTTTAGAAAAAATATTTGATATAATCATATGTCATCTTAGTTAACCACAAAGTAATAACATGATCCATCAGATCTAGATCCTTTATCATACCATTATTATGATTATTGCTCGTTGACAGCTTGCTCTGTGTCTGTGTGTGTGTGTGGTTGTGTGAGTGAGAGAGGGAGAGAGAGAGAGAGAGAGAATACATATATATCTATATATAGATATATATAGATATATATCATTAATTAGTACAACTATTGAAATTACTAGCGATTACCTCAATTCTCTCCCCTTCATCCAGATCTCGGAGGTGCCCCAAAGTCCACAGCTGTTCAGGGCTTAGTCTGTCTTCTGTCCGTAGAGGATGGTTATTCCATCCTTCCATAAAGGTTTCAAGGTCCACCTTCAGTTGTGGGACAAAGATGTAGTGTACACCAAATAGCTGAAGAGCATCAGAGGTGTCAAGTACACCATCCTCCTCGAGAGAATGTAGAGTATGATAGTACTTGCTGGTCACTGCAACCCAGACATCTCTCCACAGTCGTTCAATTCTGTAATTATTCATATGATTAAAATACTTTTGTAGCTTTGCATTCCCAACTGTAAAGTCAGTTTATTTTTAGAAGAAAAAAAACCACAAACACATGTAACACATGTCAAGGCGAAATGCTAAACAGATCAGTTTAGGACATTGTGGTTTACAGTCCTAATTTAATACTTAAAGAATTATACATTTTATGGTGAGAAATTACCTTTCTAGAGTAGCCATCAACTCCACCAAAGATCACAATGTTATATCTGTTTCATGAGAGAGAAAATACTTTCCTTAGTATTTACTACAGCTATATTTTTCTTAAGCTCAGTTTTGTGTGTCTATATCTATTTATTTAAAAACGAGGGGGAAAATGTCTATACCAATATTTTGTCATGATTTACATTGCTTATTTTGAGAATATGAATTGACCATTAATATTATTGTCAGTATGCAGGACATGTTTTTTTGCGCTGTGCTCAATGTTGTTGTGATTCTATAGTTAAATTCTATTCCCAGCCCGCTGGGAATTTATGTTTCTGATACTTTAAAATGTTTATTGCCCTCTCCTCTAGGGGTGGTAAAGTATCTTATTTAATCAGATATTATTTCAGCTGTTATATACTGTTTATGACACACAGTCCTACTAACTGTGTGTTAGAA